ACTGCTGTGTATATCTAAGTTATTGCTAGCCATTCTGCTATACAGTTGGCTTTTGGTAATGGTGCTTACCGATTTTGCAGTTGTAACACAAAGCTGTAGTGCCTAAGGTGTGATATAAATGTATTAATAGTTTTGCATTTGCTTCTAAAGAAAGAATCCTAAACCATATAAACTTCAGAACATACAAACCAGAATCTTCACCTGGAATAAAGACAGACAGAATCAAACAATTATTAAACAATGTTAGTCTCATGAGGGATGAAGGCCTGAAACCAAGCAGTGGTGGTGGAAATGGAGGGGAAGGGCCAAAATACAAAGAAGAACGTGGGGAGTCCAGCTTACTGCACTTGGCAATTGATTGACTTGGAGGTCTACTCACAGTGAAAGAACATGAGAGGAATCAGGGATCGCCAAGGACGAATCCATTTTCAGGGTCATGGCATTTCTGGTATGTTATGGACAAGTAGAGGAACACTGTGGTCTGCAGTGCAGCTGAACACACAGGGGGTGGGGTGGGGTAGGGTGCTAGTTGCTGTATTTTCCATCCTCTGGAGGCTCCCTCCCAGGCTTGTTTCGCGCCTCACGCTGCTGTCTTAACGCCTGGAAACAGCAGCTTCTTCCGGTGGCCTGGGAATTTCCCAGCGCCCCACATACCGGATGTGGAACTGCACTTCCGCCCCAGAGCCTCAGCTCTGGTGATGCAGGGCACAGGCCTCAGCAGTGCATTGCTGGCTCTGGCTGGGCTTGGAGTGGCCTGTGGTGGGGCGCCCTACATAGGCCTAAGGGTTGGTGCATGGGTTTAAGCAGACCCTTCTTCCTCACGAAGAGAACATGTTTCTTCCCCCTGAACTCCCTGAAGCCCCACTTCCTTTGCAGGAAGACTGCGGGGCCTTCCCCTGGGCTTTGCAGGTCTCCAGGCGCCAAGGCGAAGTCCTAATGAAGATGAGTCAGCGTTCATTTCCCAGCTGGTGAACGCATGGCTCATTACCTCTGGTGGTTTGCACAAACCCAGAGTGCTTATCGAATTGGCTTTAGGGTCTGCGGTGACTTTTTGGATCCCATATTGGAACTTGGAATAAGGGAGATTGTTGTCAGTGGTTAAGGTAACCTATTTCTAAAGTCAGGAAAAGTAACCAGAATACTTGCAATGTCCTAGAATTCCAAAGCAGCAGCTGTTACTGAGTGAGCGGGGAGGTTTTGAGATTTCCACTGCATTGTACTAAACTCTCCTCGTGTTGAGTATAGTTGAGGAAAATTTGACCTAACAATTGTGGTAGAAGTAGAAACGCATATTTTGATTAGTTTACTCATTGCAGATACTTTCTAAATAAGATATTTAAGGAAGAGTACTAAAATGTAGCAGGCAGTAGCCCAGTAGAAATTTTCTAACACTGGAGATAGAGGATATGAATGTGAACTGCTGTAATTATCCCTTGAACACTATAATGAATTAGAAATCTCATCTCAGTGAGGCCTTTTCTGATTACCTAGTTAAAAAAAATATTTCCCCCTGCGTAATACTTCTTCCTTTGTAATGTATAGTATAATTTCCTTATTAGAGTCATTGTTGTGGGAAACGACAAGGGAAACAAAGTCACGGAGACCATTTTCACAGGAAGCAGGGTTTATTAAACTAGTGGATTTAGGAGATAATTTCTCAAAGCCCGGAGCCGCAGTCTTTTTCTGAAGCGGGTTAAATACTTACAGAGTTTGTCCCCCAACTCCCTACAGAATGTGGTCACAGTTACAGGAAACATTGCAGAGGTAGCTGGAGGCTTGCAACTGCAGAGCTAGCAGAAAGCTGCCTGTACACTCAAGAGTGGGGAAACCAAGGTGAATACCAGAAACTGAATCCTAGGAAAATAGCCAAGCTGGCCCCAACATCATCATTTATTATCTGCTATCTCAAACTAGAATTAAGTTCTATGAATGCACTATTCCCCCCATCTTCAACTTGGCTCATATTAGGCACTCAATACATATTTGAGTGCAAGAAGGAATCTGTTCTTTTCTGAAGAGCTTAACGTAGAACCAGAAGAGTGCTTACTTAGATGATTGGCAAGATCTGTATGAAACACAGTTCTATTGAAAGTCCTAGAAATGAAGGTCATCTACAAATGTTTATTGAATCCCTCCATTACCTTAAATGATAGTTTTCCACATTCCCCAGAATTTAGAATTGATTCTCCATTAAACGTCTTGGTAGTTTATGAAATGTCTTATACCTTTTGGGTGGGTTTTTTTGCAGTATCTGGGTTTGAACTCAGAGCCTCACACTTGCTAGGCACGTGCTCTTATTGCTTGAGCCACTCCACCAGCCATTGCCCTTGGGTGTTACTTTGAGGCAGGATTACTTAGTTCACCTTTCTGTCCTCCATAGAGTATTTTACGGTGATATGCACACACCAAATAATAAATACTTATTGAAAGAGCAAAGGAATGAACTGGGTTAAAGTCATAGATTACTTGGGACTCCAGTTACTTATCACATGCCCATAGCAGTTGTGTTTTCCATATTCTTCCTTACTCTGAAGGATTTGTACATTATCTGTGATAATTTTGGGATTTTTATTTCAATGAGCATCTAAAAATTAAATATACTTCTGGTTATCTGGATAACGAAATAATAGGAGGCTTTAGTATCCTTGTTTGGTTTTGTGTCTATTTTGAGCATGTGAGAACTAAGTAGTGTAGTGCTTTGTTATTGGTTAAAGAAGGGAAGAATAAATGACTTATTCATCCCCAAGTGAAGCCCAAATGACATTAGCCTCTCTTCAGAAGATTTCACAGTAGTTTAAGGAGAAAAGATAGGAAAGAAATAAATCATTAAGATGTGGTAAAATAGAATTGTTCTGGTTTTGAGAGGTGATTTAGTATTGGCAAAGTATAATCACTGATTTTCTTAATATTTTAAGTTTAATTTTTGTTAGTTTAATAGTTTAATTTGCATTTATTTTGTAATTGTGTGTTTCCTGTGATTATAAAAGCTAAAAATGAGGAATTTGAGGCTAATTTTATGTTTTATATATTTAATATTATAGAGAAACTAGTTCAAGTTGGGAGTGTGGGACTTGAAAATGCGTTTTACTTTTAGTAGTTTTTAGGGCTGTTTAAGCTTTACTCAAGTTTTTGAAAAACTGCAAAGAATATTTATTTTGATAAAGTCCAGGTGTGACAGTTCAGTGTAGGACAGACACATCTGCAGCTGTTGTTGCTAGTGAAATATAGAAGGAGGGATCTTAGGAAATATGGAGAAGTTGATGGGAGAACATGGGGGAGTTTTAGATAAACTTGGGGACTCTTTGAGCAAGTTAGCTTTTGGTTTAGAATATGTGAGTTTTCTTTGCTAGTGGCTCCCCAAATGCCTAAGCAAAATGCAGTCTTTTATGCTTTTATATTGAAAAGAAAAATATTAATCAGCATTTCTGTAGATAATGTAAATCGCTGTGCTTGGTGAGCAACACTGGAACACCTGAAGAGCTATTTAAAGTTGTTGTGATACCATCTTTAGCAATAAAGGAAATGCAAATTAAAACCACACTAAGATTCCACCTCACCCCTGTTAGAATAGCCATCATCAGCAACACCACCAACAACAGGTGTTGGCGAGGATGCGGGGAAAAAGGAACCCTCTTACACTGTTGGTGGGAATGTAGACTGGTACAACCACTCTGGAAAAAAATTTGGAGGCTACTTAAAAAGCTGGACATCGATCTACCATTTGATCCAGCAATACCACTCTTGGGGATATACCCAAAAGACTGTTACTCCAGAGGCACCTGCACATCCATGTTTATTGTGGCACTATTCACAATAGCCAAGTTATGGAAACAGCCAAGATGCCCCAGCACAGACGAATGGATTAAGAAAATGTGGTATCTATACACAATGGAATTCTATGCAGCCATGAAGAAGAACGAAATGTTATCATTCGCTGGTAAATGGATGGAACTGGAGAACATCATTCTGAGTGAGGTTAGCCTGGCCCAAAAGACCAAAAATCGTATGTTCTCCCTCATATGTGGACATTAGATCAAGGGCAAACACAACAAGGGGATTGGACTATGAGCACATGATAAAAGCTAGAGCACACAAGGGAGGGGTGAGGATAGGTAAGACACCTAAAAAACTAGCTAGCATTTGTTGCCCTTAATGCAGAGAAACTAAAGCAGATACCTTAAAGCAACTGAGGCCAATAGGAAAAGGGGAACAGGTACTAGAGAAAAGGTTAGATCAAAAAGAATTAACCTAGAAGGTAACACCCACGCACAGGAAATCAATGTGAGTCAATGCCCTGTATAGCTATCCTTATCTCAACCAGCAAAAACCCTGTTCCTTCCTATTATTGCTTATACTCTCTCTACAACAAAATTAGAGTTAAGGGCAAAATAGTTTCTGCTGGGTATTGAGGAGGGGGAGCGGGAGGGGGTAGAGTGGGTGGTAAGGGAGGGGGTGGGGGCAGGGGGGAGAAATGAACCAAGCCTTGTATGCACATATGAATAATAAAAGAAAAATGAAAAAAAAAATAAAACCAAAAAAAAAAAAGTTGTTGTGATAGAAGAAGCTTATTTTCTCCTAGTGTCCTCCCCACTCAACATTCTCAACCTCCCTGTCCCTGCCTTACAATGGGAACTTGTAGAAAGAAATGAGATGAGGATGTGGTTTTGAAGGTGGGTATTATTTCAGTCAAATTTCTACCATATCTGCAACAATATTGTTTGGGGTTCAGTCAAATATGTTTTGAGCAACTATTATGTGGCAGGCATATATGAGGAAGTAAAAATGGTACACAATACAGAGTTCCTGTCTTTGGGACTTATAACTGATAATTGCCCACTTTGTTCTGTGGTTTATCTTTACTTGGTATGCTTTAGTTAAATATGAGTGAGAAATTTGAAAAATTTTTGTACCTTTATGCTGATTTGCCTGATTTCCATGACAGAACACAGAGTTAGAAATGACAAAGGCTCAAATTATTTTTTTATCTTTTTCAATTTTAGGGGTGTCATGAAAGTTGATATAAATCTTCAGAAAGTGGACATTGATCAATGTTCAAGTGATGGCTGGTTTTCAGGGACTCACAAATGCCACCTTAACAATTCAGAGGTAAGAACATGAAAACAAAATTCTCTGAAATCAGAAGCTCATAAACGGTTTACTATTATAAAACTGTATGTTTTTATTTGTGTGGGTGAATTAACAAGAAGAATTCTAATTAGAAAAAAAAATCATCAGATTTCAGTGTTGCCAAATGAGCTGAAACTGGAGAAAATAAAATTCGTGCAGAATAGCTATTCATTTTGGGACTCTCTTGAGAGGTGGCCAAAATTAAGATTGAAGTTTAACTTTGTTTAAAGGCTGACCTGTTCTTCAAAATGGGCTGGAAATGTAAAATAGCCACAAAGTAAGAAAACCAAATCATGCACATTAACCAGATTGTCACCATTTTATGGAATATAATGCTTATTGTAACAATTGATGGGATTCATTTAGACATACTGCTGTGTGCTAAAAAATGAGACATGGCAAGGACACTTTGCAAACAAAGAGAAAGCTATATGTAGGGATCTGGAAAGGGATTGTGTGTATTTGTTTGTGTTTTTTCCAATATTTAGCTCCTATCCATACTTGATTTGATAGGATTCTGGTTGATAAGGAACAACATTCATGCTTTTGGAAAGACTTCTTTTCTCATAAAAAAAGATTTAGCTTTTTTTAGTTTCACAGAAGAAATGTGATAATATACTAATGACTTCATTTCCAGTAATCTATCTCTGAGGTCTCAAAACGCTATGAAACAAATACTGATCTTAAATACTCATACTCTCTCAATATTCGTTCCATGAATTTGTAAGGAAAATTAGAGCTTAATTCATTATTTAAAATAGAAAGGCTATTTCCATAAATGTAATAATCTACATCTATAATTTGAATTTTTGCTATTTGTGAATGGTAATTGTACATAATGCATATGGTTTTGTTTTAAAGTAAGGAATTTTGAATCAAAAGGAACATTAGGCACTTATTTGTGCCATTTCATAAGCAAAAGTCCACAGGTATATATGCATGTATATACTATGTATATATGCCCATTGCATGTTTACAATGTGTACATCCTACCACACATACCCCTGACACACACAACCGAAATACCCCCATACTCTCATACCTCCAAACAACCTTTGACTGTTCCTTACATTCCCCATTCACTCCACACACACGTTTCACCCTCTCCTATGATCTCTGCCACAATATCCCTCAACTCTTGTACCTTCTTGTCCCTTGAAACCTCCGTAATCTCCCATATCTTTCTAAATCTATCATACCTCTCCTCCATATCACTGTGATTCCTTTCACTTCCTCACATTCTCACACATACCCAAATTTCCTTCTGCCTCTCCATATACCACTACACAGCCAGTCCACAGCTGCCTCTTATTTTACTGCCAAGAAACTGGGATCCACATATGTATGTGTGTGTTTCTGCCTTGTTAACTCACAAAAGATTCTCTTTCCCTATTTGTTCCTGTGTTTTTTGAATATTGATGATTCTAGCATTTTTAAAGATGAATTTCATTCACTGACTGGCGAGTGTCCTTATTCTGATTAGCTCCATATCAGTGGCATATGGACACTTGGCATTATCTTTTAGCTTGAGTGAACATTTTTCTACATTAGTGTCATATTGTATATATAGACTGTGTGTGCTCATTTCTGTGCAGCCTTGTTTCATTGGTGCTCTTGGATGGTTCAATAAGCAGTCTGTTAAGCAAGATGTAGTTAGGTACTTTCAGTTTGTTATAGTTGATGCTGGCTTATAACAATATTGATGTGGTTTTTGTGGCTTTATAGCATGTTTATTTATTTGGCTAGATGGTCATATTTGACCTTTTCTTCTCATTGGAAGATTAATTCATTTTCTTACATCAGAAGTAGTAATTTTATGAGTTTTGTGTCTTTTAAAGGCTTTCAAATAAACTAAGTTTACTTTAAGATAAAATATCGTCCTATATTCTGATTAACAAACATTAGGTTGAAATATGTTACTTTTAGGACTATATATTAGATATGGGAACATTATATTTTTTCAATTCCTATTGGAAAAATTAGGAAATTCTGCTCTACAAGACAATTGACAGTTCACTGAACTTCACTTTGAAATGTACAAAGATAAAAAAATAATATAAGTGCTAAAAATAATATAAAACACTGGATGTATGGAATGCATAGTTTGACTTTCAATCTGGATCTCTCCCTGCTTGCCCTATTCTTTGCCTAGGTATTGAAGTTGGTACTTTTATAAACTGGGCTGGACCCAGGTTCTTGATATGCCTTACATAGGGCTGTCATGGAACTCTTTACACAATTTTGGTTGGGCATCTCTAAGGTCCTGTAGTTGATTCTGGTCACTGTAGGCACCTGAAATGGCTCCTTATCACATCTTCAGTCTAGTTGCTAGGAATGAATAACCTTTCATTTCTTTCCCTCTACTGCTAGGAATTAGAGATTAGAAACTGTCTTCTCTTAAAGTTTTTACTTTGGAAAACAAAGAAAACTCTCTTGCTTGGCTGTTTTTCATCTGCTTTTATTCCCCTCTGTCCTTCTAATGTTCTGATACCCCAAGGATCACTGTGTAAACTGGCATATTTTGAGAAGTATTTAACATGATTCACATTTTAGGAGGTAGAGACGTTCATCTTTATGAACGTCCATACTATTAGAAATTGAGGCTGTCTTCATGGTTCACAGAGAGTTATCTATCTTGTAAAGAGTAGAGGAATTTACGCATTTAAAATTTCACTTAATTTTTTCTGAAATGTTGAGTTTTCAGCCTTCAGGGTATATTAAACCAGAGTAGCTGGTCTGATGTTGGAAATAGATAAGTGTTATGGGATCAATAACAAAAGTTTTAGGATTATTTTAGAAAGGCATGGAATGTTTGTGAAAAAACAGTTTCTCAGTGAGTTTAGGTTGGCACAAGGTCTAGGAAGGAACTAAGTATTTTCTGAAGGACAAAGCAAAATAAGATATGAAATGGCACTCTGAAGTGGATTGCAGGATTATTCTGGCTATCTTTGTAACCGATTTATATCACTGCAAAATGGACTTAATCATGTTTTCAGTATCCACTTAATTCCACCTATTTTTATATCAGTGTTTTGAGTACCTTAACTCCTCTTCTACAGAATAACTCTTTAAAAACATAAAGAGTTGATAATTGATTTTTGTTTTAAAGGTTTTATTCTGCTTTGTTTCCACTAAAATAATTTTTTTGATTATTTGAAGTAGAAAACATTAGTACAGTGGCCATGAAGCTTTTTGATTACGGGACATTGGGAAAATGCTTTAAACATACCATATGTGTATTTTAAATGTACAGAGTATATGCATCTTTTATTATACTTAGGTACCATTCTTATTATAGACCAGAAAACTCTAGAAGATTGATGCAAAGATGAAATAATAATTAAATGTAAATAACATTATTTTATAAAAATATTAAGTATATCCTTAATGATAGCAAAATTGATTTGTAACTTCTGCAAAAACTTTTATCAAGATGTTATGAACAATTACGTGTTACCATTTTTGAAAGTCTTTAATATTTAGTAATGTAATGATTCAAAGTCTCTAGGTTCAGTTTATTTTTATAATTTGTTTTAGTATCTGTCAGAGGTGGAAAGGATGCTTCACAGGATATATTAATCTGAAGTGAAAGAATAAATTGTTGACTCTGTTTGCTAAATTATAATGTTTAGTTTTTAGTTCTATCTACCAGTTTTGCAAAGGTTTTTGCAGAAATACAGCTAGCAGTTTTTCATCTTCCTGATGTTAATTGACCCCTGCAAACAAATTAAAAAACTGTGCATTTTAATATTTTAAAGGATGCTGGTAGAGTGGCTCAAGTGGATATTTTAAAGGAATAGGCTAAACATAGCTGAATCCCCTCATGTGGAGTATTAAAATTGATTAGGAAATTTTATTTTCAAGTTTCAGCTGTGGGCACTATGAGTATTTGTAGTTTTTGGCAACCCTTCTCCCTACATAACTCTGGAAACATTTTCAAATATCTGTTGTGAATATGCTCACTTCAAGAGTCATTCTCATGGATTGTTAAAATGTCACTTTTGGTTTGAAGAATTGGCTTATGCATTTTTGGGAAATGTCTGCTGCATAGACACTTATCAGTGGTTACTTGTCATCACAGAATAGGTCAGCAAATGTGGGACATTTGTCTTTTTTGAAAAGTCAGTGTATAACCAATCTTTAAGCTCAGAAACAAGCATTTTGATATAATAAAATATTTGTGTAGGAAGGTTTTCTGGATCACATATCATCATTGTAAAGAATTTTAAGTATTTTGCAATGTAAATTACTCTATAAATTCATCTAAATGGCCAAATGTAAATACTAATAAGCTGAAACTTGAAATAAAATGAAGGAAACAAGCAACTACTGTCAATATTTCTGTTTTGAAACTCCTAATTTTCTTCAGGCGGTATCTCGTGCCTCATCAGATTTGTAGTCATGTGAAGTAAGCACTGAGTGAGGGCATTCATATTAGTCCAAGTCTCAAATATCAGCAGAAGTTAGCTTATTTCTTATCTTTCTAAGTGAAAAGTTAAATATAGACAAAAGTTCTAGTATTTTCTTCTTGAATGCCAATTGCTCCCGTGCATACTGCTTTGAACATTCTTTTGTAGTGCTGGGGATCAAACCCAGGGCCGCATACAAGGCTAGTTCTCCACCACTGAGCCATAGTCCCAGCCTCTGAAGACTACTGTGTGACTTTATCACATTCACTGTTCTATCTGGAATTCCTGGAATGGTTGTGTTGTCAACTCAGTCAATGGCATTAATTGCTCTAATATAGTCCTCCCATATCTCTGCTTTTCATTGGAATGTATTGGATAAGGATCTGTCTATAACTCCTCACTATTTTAATTATTTGTAAGTTAATGAATCTCTAAAGATATTTTCTTAAAAGGTCAAAAAGATAAAAAGGATATGCTTTAGTATAGTATATGAGAAGAGGAATTTAATGCAAAGATCTAAAAAAAAGTAATGGTTAATATTACTCTTTTGAAATGCTTACATATAGAACATACTCATTTGACTACAGCAGAAGTTCCAGTACTTTTCTAGAGATCTTTAACTGTGATTTAGTGAAATCACTTAAAAATAGCTGTTTATCACTTCTTACCTGTGTCTTCTGTGCTACCATTTCTTTTCTTTTCTCTAGAAAGGTTCTGTTTACAAATATTGTTGTTCACCTATCTCTGGAACTGTGCTGCCCATTGTTGATAGGCACTAGCCCATGTGGCTACTGAAATTTAAATCAATTAAAATTGGCCAAAATGAACATTTCAGGTACCTGGCCTCCCTAATTTGATGTCAAATGTTTGAGAGTTATTCGTAGCCAGTAGCTGCAATATTGGATAATGTAGTGGACAGATCTCTGCTAGAATATGGTCTAG